TGTTCATTTTCACTACACCAGTTTGTCATAAAATAATCGTGCTGTAAGTAGCTGTCATCTGCTCGCATGTCCTTTTAAACAAACCTTGATCTCCTCCAGAAGAAACGACAAATCACTTTAAGTCAGTTTTTAAAAGTGGAGTTTACACGGCTAAATGAAATCCGGGGAAAATCTCAATCAGAACAAAGTCTCTCTTCTAGCCGCTAGAATGTTTCGTAATTTTTCCACCAGATGTCGTATGGCTACAGCTTTAATGGTTTTTAATTCAAGAAAAAAAATAGAGAATCCAAAAAATTCAAAACTCAAACCTCCAGTTACAAATCTCTCATAATTTCAAAGATGTGGAAGCCGTGAGATTTCCAAAAAATTTCCATAGAAGCTCAAAATGACAAGTGAAAGCATCTTAGATAAAGTTCCCTATGCATGTGCCTGTCTACGATCTTTTTTGGCTAGTCGTCTCCTCGATTCGGTCTCTAAATTCCAGTTTCCCTATAGTTTTTGCTTGCAATAGGTAGCGGTTTAAAACCCTCAGCGGATATTTAGAATAAGTTAGAACAAACGGTTTCCCACCCCGACGCTCCTGCCACAAGTTCTCATGGGTCGGATAGCGTAGTACCACATTCCTGACTTAACGAAAATTTTGTTCCGTGGCGAAAATAAAAGACGATAAAAACCACTAAAAAAGGCAGCTAGCAGTTTTCTGTTTGTTCCCCACTAATAATTTCTGTGCCAAATTTGTGTTTTATGTTTATTGTTGTATTTTGCAACCTCTTTCAAATATTCATTTTCACTTTTCTGAACATTTCGCGACAGCGAACTGTAATGTTAGGAATGTTTGCTGAGTTTTTAAATGTCTCCGGAAACTCGGTGGCATACTGCGAGGCCTCAACAGCAAGAGTATCATAATATTACGAAGTAAAAACGGATAGGTTTTGTCAAGAACCCAATGCGATGTCGTCTTTCTTCCTGTTGTTTCCTCTCTCTTCCTTCCCTCTTTTACCCTTCACTCCCTGCGTCTTGTTGCATTTCGCTTCTTTCCCCGCATCCAACTACAGTAGAGGCGATCGATGAGGTGCGAAAGATATTTGGCTTATTTTACTTCTGCATTCAACACCAGCGTTGTTTTAAAAGTGATTCGATATTTCTTCAGTGCTCTGTAAAACACTGTGCTGTTTTTGATCAAAACGTATAAAACCAATCCAATATGTAATAATAAGTACTTCGTTATTATACACTAGTCACCTGTTCCATAAAACTCTACTACTATTCCTGTTTTGCCGCAACTTCAGCTCAAGTTTAACAATTCTTCCGTCGCTTTCAGCTTCCCATTTTAACACTTCACTCAGGACTAAAGATCCTTGTTGCAGTACGCTGCCTCCGATCTTCCAAATCTTTTTTAATTTAGACGAAGACATATGTGTTCATAAGCAAGCCAACAGAACATGAAACAGCCATAGCCATCGCAACAGCAAAAACAGCTTTTGATACGGGAATATTGTACACAGCTGCAAAAGAAAACACTTAATAGTGATGTTTTCTAAACGCACTTTAAGAAGCACCCAGCTTACCTACTAAGAATACCAAGTGCGAGACAACATCCTACTGATAAGGAATCCCCAAACCGACCGCCTGAGTGATCTTAGTGTTCATGATATTTGCTAAAGCCTACATCATTTGCTGTAAACTGGGCACTTTGAAAATCTCACTAGGAACTGGGACAAATTCTAATATTTTAAAGATGCAACAGACAAGGCAGCCATTTTTGGAAAGGAAGAAAAATCACCTCGTTGAGTCTGTACATGTGATATGAATATGAACAGTTCGGTAAGGGCCCTGTACGACCAAACCACGTGAAGATCCCAGACAATCGATAGCACCACAAAGACGTTTCCTAAATTCCATTAT